GAGAGAGAGAGAGAGAGAGAGAGAGAGAGAGAGAGAACTATCTCGAATCAGGATGATCCTCCCTCATAAAGTCCCCAATCGCGTGTCGGTCGAGTCGCCGAACTCCCCCCGGAACCTGCGCGTTTTTGCCGGACACTCGCAAGCGGTGCGATCACACCCCTCGCGCTCGTGGGCGCAGGAGTGCATTGTACCATTGTAAATATAAACTGCGTCTATCCCGCGAGCAGCTTTCCCGACTATTCGTCGCGTATCTCGGCATATTGCGCGCCGTAACCATTTAACCGCGCTTGCGCGCGTGTATTGTACATAGACAACATATGGCACGGAAGGTAACGTCTCTATTATGCATCTCTTACCCTCCTTTCGCCCCTTGATAAACGGCCGCTCGTATTTAACGCGGCTAATCGAGCTGCATGTGTCAATGGAAGAAAATTGCGCGCGAGCGGAAACGCGCAAGAGCGGCAAAAACTCTCGCGTGCTTCTCCTCTTCTCCTCCTCTTTTTCGGGCGCATCGCGCTTATTATTATCCGGGTCGCTTGTATTTCCGTCGGGGAGTGACCACTAAAGTGGCGTAATTCGCACTGAATAGGGCGACTGACGCTAATAGGATGAAAATAACGAATATCACTAAAATATTGATAATCCTTTTCTCATCGGACTCCCCCGATTTCATTTCGCTTGACGAATGCTGAATTAATGATACGTTCGGCCGTTCGGACGACGCTTAAGAATAGCGAAAATTGTTTAATATTCAACGGAATGCTACGCGCAAAAATAGATATTAATTGTTATTTCCTCGTTGGGTTTGTAAACTTTCACCTCGCTGTCCCTCGCTTATTTTCGTCTTGAAAATCCTTGACGTGCGTGATCGCGTTTATTTTTTATCGCTGTAGATCGTTTTAACGCGAAACGTTAAAAGCCACGTTAAACGTTGATCTTTCGATTCGGCCGTGTTAACGCAACACACCCCATGATGTTTTCGTCCTTTTTCCTGTAATTATAAATAATGGCCGCGTAGGAAATACCGGGCAATTTAGTCGTAAATCACCGTTCGCTATCGGTGACAACGATTATTTATAGACGGCGGAAACGAACGCATGTTTGGAGAGTTATAGCGTAGGAAGTACGCTATAAATATAGTGAGCGCGCGATCATAAAATACCCAGCCGTTAGCTATAGCGTTGTTCTTTTTTTCTTCGTTCCTTTTTTAACACTGGCTACAGACACCCGAGAGAGACTTTTGTCACGAGGTCAATGTTGACGATCCGATTTGTTCTCACCGCGAGCAGGATTATCGCGCGAATTCGTCGCGATTTCCGGATTTAATGAAAAACTCATCGAGGATGAAGTTTGATCGAGGTCGAAAGTGGCAGCGCTAATGTCAAGTCCGGGATAAACGGTACGTGGACGACACGTGTCAGTCGCGCTTCTCTCCCGGTGACTCGCATTGACGCTGAAAAATTCGCAATTTGGACGATCCTCCTTCCCCCTCTCTCCCTCGCGAATATCATGATACTCGACGAACGGCAGGAGGGTATAACGTACTAAAAACTCACTCGTGTACATAGATCGCACATAGACATTGTTTCAACAGAAGCGTACGACGGCGCACACGGTGTGCCACGCGCCCGCTCGTGTTCCGCTCTTCAACGCCGGCCGTTCACTGGCCGAGAGAGGGAATTCTTCATCGCGTTACCTTCGTCTCTATCTACCGAAGCCTCGCACCAGGGCTGATAATCGATAACTCGTCATCTCGCCGAGAGAGCCGGAGCCGTAGATCGCTTCATCCGGCGGTCGCTGCCGCCGCCGCGTCCACCTCCACCTCCGCCTCCGCGGAAGCGCGTCCTCTTCTTTTGCCGTTCACGGCACAGAATCCGCTCGTGCGTGACGAGTCTGTTTACCTCGCGCCAGCCAGCCGCGCCGACACCATGCCGCCAATTGCGCGGCGCGCAATCACCAAGCAAGATTAACGCCGCGGGTACCTGGCGGCTAATTGAAAGAGGAACGTGGCTCAGGGTGTGCGCCGCGCGCACACACCGAGATACGCCGCCGGCGGAATCTAATAAACGCCGCGGCCAGGTAGGATACACACACATACACGCACGCACGCACGCACGCATGAGAGGTGTGCGTGGACTCTTCTTTCGTTTCGCGCGAAATCGAATTCGCCGTCATCCCCAGTGTATACAATCGCGATGCACACGGAATCGGCGCGGCCGCACCAGGCTAACCTTCCCTCCCTCCCTACCGCCCTTTCGCTCCTATATCAATCTCTCTGTCTCTATCTCTTCTGCTCGCTCGCTCCTCCCCCCCTCTCTCTCTCTCTCTCTCTCTCTCTCTCCGCAACGAGATTATGGTAATTGACTATCCGACTTGGAAACCCCCATCAGGCATATCAATTACGTACGTATGCATCCCAACCGGGAATTTGCCTTTGATCCGCTCAAACTCCGCGGTAACACAATTCACGCCTGCGTCTAATCTCAAATGGGATTGCCTGATGGCACAAGGGACCATCGAAATGGGCTTTTCCGACTTCGCGGGGTCGCGCGAGTCCTTTCGGGACCGTCGCGACGCGCCGAGGGCGGCCGGACGGCGGCGCGGCCCTTCGAGTCCAACGCAATCCGGATGATTCTCGTTCCTCCGGAGCAGGCCGAATAAGCGAAGTCCGGATATCTAAGGAGAGCTCGATCGTGCCGTGCGACCGATATCGTCGTGTGACTTCGATGACTTTGACAATCAGATTTACTTTTGACAATCAGATAAGAGTCCGCGTCCGGTATCTTTGGAGTTTGGAGAATCTGAGACGTTGAAATTGTTCTTAAGGTGGATTTTCTAACGTTATATAGCATAGAAAGGAAATAGAGATAAACATAATGACACATGAGGAAAGCAATATATTCACTTGTATTTTATATCTCGACATAAAAATTGAATCTTGCTGACGTGGGACGTGGGAATATATAATTAATAATTTATCACACTTATGTAGTCGATATTTCAGTCCCGAATAAGTTCGTAAATTTGGTCGCCTTGAAATATAGAAATAAATGCGTGAGGGTTTATCCTCGTATTTTCGATCATTTATTCGGGGTTCCAAGAACGAAGACCCTTCATCCTCTATCGCCGAAATTTACTGGCACATCTTTTAGTTATGTGCCAAATCCAACGGACGCTGCCTTAAACTGCCGTAATCCGTTACAGCCTAAGTGGATCATTTCTTTGATAAATCGTAGAAACGTTGCAAACGTTTAAAGCGAAGTTTATGCGGAGGGTCTCCCTCTTGTCGAGTAAATTCTTACCCCACATTAAGCCCCACTGGGAGCATCTGAGGGTATACAAAATCAAAAAACTAGAAAGCACATCGTTCTAAAGCGTGCGTAAAAAAGAGTTCAACGCGCGCTGTTACGAAACACGATTGTCGTTTTATGCGCGATTTGATCAATCCTCAGCGAAGTATACGCTTTGCAAATAACACGGATAACACGGAACATCTCGACAGAGATTTACGACAAATTCTACACTTAATCATAAATTGCTAATTATCTCGTGTCGCAAGATGATTGACGTTAATGCAATATGCGAGCCGGCGTGTTCTCAACGTAGACGCGCGCGCGACAGAATTAAATCCTCACGGACACGTCGGACTCGAAGTCGTTCTGGTGGCCGTCCCGGTAACCGCCGTCGCTGACGATCGTTCGAACCTTGATGATTGAACTGTCGAGATACACGAGCGATCGGGCAAGATGATCCACTTAATTAACGTGGATCACGAGTTCCAGGCCTAACTGGTCCGTCGATGTCACGTACGCGATAAGACGAGCGAGAAAGTTGAGAGTCGCGGCGATAAATCCGACGTACAGCCGTATCGCGGCATCGGCTGCTTTACTTGGGAAAAAGCAGCTCGCAGCGAGAGAGAGAGAGAGAGAGAGAGAGAGAGAGAGAGAGAGAGAGAGAGAGAGAGAGAGAGAGAGACTCGGTCGAGTCGGAATCCTTTCCGTGGCTTTAAACAACGTCAATGCGCGCGCCTCGCGATAATACACGGAATTCATTAGCACGGAAGACGAGCGATAATTTTCGGCAGAGGGACCAGCACCCGCGGCCGCTATCAGATATCGCCTTTTTCCTCCTCCGCCCTGTGATATGTAATAATAATTCGCGTATCGGCAGATCGCGTGCACATATGCGACCGGACGGATGAACGAACGAACGAACGAACGAACGAACGATTGAATACTCGCACTTTTGCAACGTTTATCTACTAAACGCCGCTGCAGTTCTTTCGCTTTTGTTTGTTTTCCGCAGCAACGTAACAAAAGCGTAACACGCGCGATAAACTCCGCGGATTACCTAAATTAAATTGACTCTGGTTGAACATTGATCCCCCATTGTGTTTCGTCTTGCGAGCGGCGAAAAAGTTTGCGCACGCATACGTTTTTTGAAGTCGGGTATTAAAAAATTGCTCTTGTGTGGACGCGCACACACTCCCTCTCTCCTTTTCTCTCTCTCTCTCTCTCTCTCTCTCTCTCTCTCTCTCTCTCTCTCTCTCTCTCTCTCTCTCTCTCTCTCTCTCTCTCTCTCTCTCATTGGAAGTGAAAGGAGATAAAACAATAACGGGAAATCAAGAGCTGTTCGAGCGGTCTGAGGTCTGTCGTATATTCATTTAACGATGTTACTTAATGATTCGTGTCCGAGATTACGTCCGGGCTATCGCGGTGCGATCACGGCGCGCCAGCGAGGGCCCCCCTCCCCCCGAAGACACACGTATCTCCTCGAGAAATCGTAAAACAAATCCTAGGAAAATACCGCGGAATGTAAACACACGGACGAGTGAAAACGCTCGTCGATTGATCGATGCTTTATCTATTTCGGAAGGTCGACGGTCCGATGCTCGACGACGCGTTGATTTCGGCCCATTGCGGTCGCGCGATAGATAATCACTATTTAGCCGCCGACAGATAATCACTCTATAAAAGAAATAACTCGGTCGACCGACGGGCTAAAGTGCTCGCGCGTGCGGACAGTATGACGACGTTCTTCATCATTTCCGTGCTACTTCTGACCGGGCGTCTCGTCCACGGCGTTACGGGTAAATCGTTAGATTTATGGTTCTTCCGCGGTTCCACCCTTTCTCTGTAGGGGGACTCGGCTCCCTCTCGCTCTCGCAGTCTCCTCTATCCTCCCCTCTCGCCCGCTTCTCCAATCTCTCTGTCCACCCTCCTCGTTCGTGCGGTCTCTCTCGCGTCCCCGTACAGGAGAGCGCGCATCCCACCTTTCGTTTGTTTCGAAATTTATCGAGCGTTAAGTTTCTCTATGTTTTTTTCCTCTCTCTCTCTCTCTCTCTCTTTCTTCGCCAAGAGAGGAGCAAAAACGAGGTCCATTTTCGCCGAAAACCAACAACCCGTCGCGCCTCGTTCTCCGCGCTGCGGGGGTGCCTTCGAACAACGAGGGTGTGCGCGCTCGATCGAGTCCGTCAGCGGACCCTCGAGAGAGGAGGGGTAGGGGAGGGTGGATGTGTATAGGAGGTCGTGCGTTAATCGGGCCACGCGAAACCCCGTGTACTTGCAGAGGACGTCGTGACTATGTCGGGCCACTCGGCGAAGTTGACGGCGAGATCGGCCGAGAAGGCGACGAGGTGCATCCTCGAGACTAACCGGGGCGAAGTGTTGGAATACACGCCCGACGATCGCGAAATTAGAAGGGACATCAACCGTGTCGATTACTCCAGCGGCGACGGGACGTGCTCGCTCAGCATCCGAGAGGCTAATAGCACTCACGCAGGTGTGTGGCGAGTGACGGCGTACTCGCTGGCGCCGCTGGACGAGCGGCGGGCAAGAAAGAAGACCGATATTCGCGGTGACAATCGCACCGGCGACGCTGCGAAAGTGTTTGCGTTCAGGCTGTATGTTCAGGTAAATCTCGCTCGTTACGTTGCCTCGCGTTCAGCTCCATTGCGACTCGCTCGTGTATCGACCACCACGTGCGCGAGGAGACGCTCCGCGCGACGCTGCGGACTCGCGGGGGTATGAATTGTGCACGCGAAAGCCATCGCTTCCGGCCGCCTGGGACCGTCGCGAAAAGAAGTAGCCAAGTCCCGTCGCACGAGCGTCGATGAAGTGGGTTACATGAGAACGTGTGTATTTTAGGAGAAGGTCGATTTGCCGGTCAAGCATGTCGAGGTGTACGACGGCCACTACGTAAATATCAAGCACCCGGACGACTTTGAGAATCTCACGGCGTGTAATTTGACGGGAGCCTGGGTATGTTAATTATAAACTACATAAATAACAAAGATGCACGACGACGAGAGGTAACGATCGCGATCCTGATAAATGTCCGGGCTTTAAGGGGATGACGAGCTGCGCAAGCGTCTGATAATGTGGGAGCGATTGTTCGAATGTCACGTTCCCGTCGCGCACATTGAGCAACGTTCCAATGCATGCTTCGCGCCTACTTAGATTGCGTAAAAGCAAAGTCGTAAGTCTGTGCAAGCGATAGGACTTGCGGAAGAAAAAGTCGGTGCTCTATCGGCAAAGTTTTCGAATATGGCATCCCCTTAAATTTCCGCGATATATTCCGACGGAAACGCAAACGGGCATTCGAGATTCCCGGTAAGGAGAACTCTACCTGTCACGATAAAATCGCGAAACAACATAGTCGTTTACGGTAAACATGGATATATGTACACCGTAATCAGTTCATTTCACCCCTTGTCGCTGGTGCACGCGCGATTCAGAGGCAGTCGGTGGATCTGCTGGCGGAGACGCGAGACGATTTTCAACTTTTCGGTCAATGCGGCGTCACCATGAAAGTACACGTCAACTCGAGCGGCTTCTGGGAGCTCGTCGCGGTCGACAACGATTTCACGTTGTACATCGCGAGCTTCGACGTCGCCGTGTACCATCTGGAAAAGGCGAAACAGCCGAACCTGGCCAATATGGTGAGTCTCGGTCGAGCTTCATACTCGCTTTAACCGTATCATCCAAGTCTGATATCCGAAAGTTCGCGACCTCTCCCCCTGTTCCCCTTTCTCTCTTTCTCTCTCTCTCTCTCTCTCTTTCTCTCTCTCTCTCTCTCTCTCTCTCTCTCTCTCTCTCTCTCTCTCTGTCTCTGTCTCTCTGTCTGCCGCAATGCGCGACAAAAATTTCGCGAGTTGCGCCGGCCATATACGAGAGGTATTTTTCGGAAACGATCTGTGAAAAAGGGCGGGAGGGAAAGAGGGGGAGGAAGAGAGATAGAGAATCTCGCGAAGCACCGGGATATTAGCAGAATATATAATCCATTTTATGGAAAATCGCGCGAAATTTATCATATCAGTTTTCGGCTGCGCTTCGCGTTATCGTCGCGTCCGTCGATGTCGATTGTACATTTGCGGGATCGGATGAAAATTTGCAAGCGGACAGACGTGCATGATGAAATTAATATTGCACAGTCGGCGCCGCCACGTAACGCTACACGGTGAAAGAAAACAAAAAATCCCGCGTGTTTATTAAACATGTGCGACATCCGAGACTGCTCGCCGAAAATGCTCATGTATTTATCAGCCATCCATCATTATTCATCAGTCACTCTCGCAGAGATCGTAAATCAAGCAAATCCATAAAATACACGTCGTCCATCTTTGGAAAGACCGTGATGAACGCGGAGGATTTTTTTTATTTTTTTACCGAAATATGCGCGCGATAACAGGGGTGATACAAAAGTATATAATGATTTACTTGTCTCTTTACTTGTCTCGGGCGCGCACACACATAGACGCAATTGCACGAATAACCGATACCTTTTAAGAATATCGCGCATCGATCTGGCGTTTAGGAAGCAAATGGATCGGGACATTGAAAGAACGGGCTAAGTTAGAATTGAAGAGCAAAACTAAACGGGAGAATAATGCGGCGAGTTAACATTTTTCCGGGGCTCGGTTTGCGGACGAAAAAGAGCCGAGAATTGAGATAGATCGGACGACGAAGCGAACAACATAAATCATAGGCGCGAAAATGTGCTCGCCGCTTTCGTCGACGATCGAAAGAGCCATTCGCGCGATACGCTCTTTACAAACTCCCCTCGGAGAGTCCCCCCCCTACCGCGAGCCCGGGCCGTCGCGTTCCCGGCAGCTGGTGCAATCGCTGCCGTTGACGCCGGTCGTGGAGTTCGACTTGCGAATCGACTCAGGTAGCGAACATTGTACGTAAGTATATCGGCTTATGTCTTATCGCTCGCAAGTTAAGCACCATCCGGCTTGCGGTAAAAGTGGGCGAGATCGAAATCGGGAGCGTGCATTTACGGTTACTAGATTCGATCATCGTTCGGGATTACGGCCAACTGGGCAGTTCCCTCTCTCTCTCTCCCCCCCCCTCCGGATACGCGGCGTTTTATCGCGACAATTCGGCAGAATCGATCCGCACGTGTCGTAGCGTACGTCCTCCGGAAAACAAAGTAACGATCAAACGCGGAACTACATGAGCGCGCTGCTAATGGCCCACGTTTCCCGTCGGGATGGTCGAGGTTTCGCGAATGGCGCTTTGGGAATCGCGACCGAGGCTCACTCTCGAGCGATCGCCGACCGTGAGCCGATGCAACGACGTTTGAATCCACCGAGAAAGGGGATAACGAGGAGGGGTGAAGAGGCCAGACAGGGAGTCTTACGGCGGGGCGGAAAATAAAAATCGCGTTACGCTGCTACGTCATCATCGTTTATTTTTATATCCGTTTTTTCGGATTAACGGCAGCTCGTGCGCCCGCAATGGGGAATTGCGTTGTAACGACGCGCGATTGAATTATTGAGTCGTGAAATATAGCGCGGCAAATACCGTCAATAATTTAATAGTTTATTGATAATATTTATGCGCGCACGTGTGTGTGTCTCTTCCTCGAATCGGTGTGATCGCGCAGCCGTCAATTATTCACACACACTTGCGGCGTATCTCGAGTCTCCGCGGGAGAAAAAAGAGGATTCGTCTGCGATCGTGTATTCATGATGCTGAACACGCGACAAATCGTCGATAATTTTACAGTCGATTATTGATAATATTTGTGCGCGTGTATATGTCTCTCTCTCAAATCGGAGTGGTCGCGCAGCCGTCAATTATTCACACACACTTACGGCGTATCTCTAGTCTCCGAGCGAAAAAAAGAAGACTCGTCTGCGATCGCATTTTTATTTATGATGTTGCATGCGCGACAGATCGTCGATTCCTTCGGCGAATTGACCGCGTTAATAAATTCTCGCGACGATTTCGCATAATGGGCCTGTTCGTCCTCCTCTTTTCGTTTACGCACAGCTGCGAAAAATTATAAATGCCCGACGGATGGGCGAGCAAAGAGCGATTATCTCGGCGATCGTCCACTTTTCCCTTAAAATTTCCCAAAATTTGGCGCGCCGGCGGTTGCGCGCGGGCGGAAGCACGTTGCAATAAACTGTCGCAAAATAGCGGCGTAAAAATAAAAATAACGATCCGGCTGCAGGCTGCACGCGGCGAATCGCGTTCAGACGTCGCCCGCCGAAATGCCGCTCGCTTTCAAAAAGGGAGCGAGAGGGAGAGAAACAGAGAGAACGAGAGGGCGAGATAGCTAGAGAGAGAGAGAGAGAGAGAGAGAGAGAGAGAGAGAGAGAGAGAGAGAGAGAGAGAGGGAGAGAGGGAGAGAGGGAGAGAGAGAGAGAGAGTGAGACGGAGAACGGCTCCAGCTTTTAGCGGAAAAGTGGGTTCACGTGGGACGTGCGGAGCCCGGCGGGTCCTGAATGCGCCGAATAATCTTCGATGTCGCTAACGAGAGTGCACGCTGCCGTTTACAGGGACGGCTTCCGTACCGAAGTTGTACCAACTCACGCCAACTTGCTATAATAGACGGCTAACGAGATAGCCCGGGTTGAACGCGCGAACTATCGCTGTTTCAAGGAACACGTAGCTATCGTTAAATATCGATGTAACAAATGTTAGAAAAAACGAATGAAGAGGTGCTTGTAACCTCGGTACGCACACGCTACTCGCTCGTTAGTTCCAAGAGGAGAATGTCGCGAGATAGACAGACGGATAGATGAATAGGCAGATAGGCGGATAGATAGATGCAGAGGAGAATAAAACCAGACGAGGCTGAAGAGAAAGAGTTGCGCCGTTGTGTCTTGAAACGTTGCGCATGGCGGTGAGAGAATCCACGTTATCATTGTTGCTAAATGGACTGGCGCGCGCGTGTAATCGGCTGATCATTTCGTCGGTCGCGGTGGATCCCGCGAGGGGAGATCGCGAGCGGGAAAATCCGAATTAGAAATTGATTTGGTGTTAGTGCGGAAAAAAGAAGGACAAAACGAAAGCGCTCTTGCGGTGCCTCGGAAATTAAATATTTTTCAAATCTCCCGGTTCGCGTGTTTCGCGCGCCGCGAAAACCCCAGTGTAACGCGCGCGCTCGCGATAAGATAACAATCGCGATAACTGGATCGCCCTTGTGCAGGGGCGCGATAGGTAATTAACATGTACATACACGATGAACTTGACCGCTTGTTATCGTTACGCAAGATCTGATCAAATTATTGGTACGGCTGGTGCAACGGATGCACTTCGTTAGTATTGTTTCTTCATTTGCATATGCCGCGATCCACGATCTCTCTTCTCGGCCTTTCGATCCGAAATCTTCATAGACCAATTATGACTAGACGTCCGTCGACTCGCAGCTCACTCCTAATTAATCGGAGAACATGAGATCTCACTTTTCTTGTATACTGCTATCGAAATCTCGTAAAGGTTCTCTCGAAAAGTTCAACGCTAATATATCGATACTCCACTGTTAAGATGATAAAGAAAAACAGAAAACCTTGCAGCGAATCACAGTGACACACTCGGCAGATATATTCAATTAACTATTAAACTACTGACTATTCGCAACAACCGCAATGTGCATTTACAAATTAATACATCTGATAATGTACATTAATTCACACAATCACATACATATCATTTACTTCGCATTGCACGATTCACCTTTTTCAGTGCAACGAGATTCGTTAATGGTAACGGGATCTCTGAATTATTCGCGCCGAACAAAGTAATGAAACGCTATTTGAGATAGAGACAACGAGGAAAAGAGAGAGAGAGAGAGAGAGATGAGAAAGAGAGAGAGAGAGAGAGAGATGACAAGGGTGGGAGGAAGAGAGAGAGGGAGATGCGGCGCTCGTTAAGCACGAAATTGTACACTAGATTGTAAAATCTAATAGTTACGTGCTAGCATGATATAATCAGCATCACGCAAACGCATTAATTAATCTCATTACGAATTATGGCCGATACAAAATTATCGACAAATATGCCTTCACAGTAGTAATTGGCTTTCCGAAACTGCATTCGCCGCGCGTTGCCTATTTAGTAAATACCGCGCGCGGATTGCGCGCGCGCGCGCACGGTTCATCCGGGGATTATAGATATTTGGGGCATATTGATTGCCGATATTAGATAACGGATACCTGAGAAGCCGTGCAGCGTACGCGCGTCATTGTACGATGACACACGGCCGGCCGCGCCGGCTCGCTCCTCCAATTATAGCGGTCAGAAAAAGAAGTCGGCGGGGTAAGATTCGCGGAAAATCAGACGCGTCATTGCGTTTCTCGCGCGAGATATTACATCGCGTTTTCTCTCTAACGCTAACAAACACACTTGGCACGTGCACGTGCGAGCCTACATAAATCAACAGGGACTCGTCATCGCCGCGCCGCGCCGCGCCGCGCCGTTACGCTTCATTTCACTAAATAACGTTCGATCCCGGCGCGATCTTGGATGGATAGTTCCATTATTGGCTGTAACAGCTGGAGCTTTTTTCCCCGGTAGCTGGTCCTGCAGTGGATTCGCGGCAATGCGGGCGTGATCAGACTTCCGGGCAGACCGAAAATTTGCCAAATAGTGGATCCCAGCGGCGCGATCGTGGCGATGTCGCGCGGCGAGTGTTACCATTATGTGAAAGTCGTCACCGTTCTGCACGAGGGGGTATGGCTCGCGCGTTACAATGTCCAGGGGATGCTGGAGCCTGTCGAGGAGCGATTCAGAGTTGAGACCGCTGGTAAGATTCTCGTGAGGGAAAAGATCGATTGCCGCGCGGACGACGAGTCGTGAGATGTTAAAAGTAATCACGTTATTTTCACGTGGTGTTTGTGAATTTTGAGTTAAACGCGGACAACGAAGGTCCGCAAAATTCTGCTTAAACTCTACTTAAAAAGTTGGGGAACGTTAAACTCAATTTGTAATTCAATCTCAACATGTCTGTGTCGATTACAAATCATTTGTTGCGGACATGCGAAATTACACATTTACGATTTAACTCGGATGAGCGAGAAAAAAATAGAAAAAATATTATATTAATTTATTTTCTTATAATTATCTTCACAGACAATTAATCAATTTATTGAAAACTTTATTAAAAATATTACTTCGTTAAAACGAATCTTCGTCGAAATTACTGGTCAAGACGAATCGGTCAAGAACGGTGTTGCTCAGAGAACCGGCGAATCCTTGTTCCAAGTTGCGAAAGTCTCGAGTAGAAGCCGGCAAGAGAGCCGGCGAACTATCAATAGCGAAATTCGATTCAATTGAGAAAGAAAAGAGAAATAAAGAGATCGTTCTTTCAGATAAGATAACTCTCAATGCTGGCGTCAATTATACGGAAAACGCCGGTGTCAGATTGCTGTGTCGACTGGAATCGCGCAGCACAATTTCTTTGCAAACGTGCAACTTCGTCCGACCCGACAGCAGGACGATCTACATAACGCCCGTGGTCGCTAACGAAAGGTAGATATGCAAATCGAAAGCTCGCAGTGTTAATTTACCGTTTTGATAATGCCGCGGTTAATTTCACGTGAAAACTGGGCCCGATTACGCCGGGCGTTTCGGAAGGAAAGACGGAAAAAAAAAATAACGGATAGAAAAGGAGGGAATGAAAATGAAAATGTGAGAAAGCGCGAGATAATACCGTGTCCGGCGAATTTTTCGACGTTTCGGCCGGAAAAGCATGAATGATTCATCAGAACTGCGAAACAGATACTCCGCCTACATTAGCCCCGTGTATGGACACGCGAGCAAGGTTTTGGAATGCGGAATAACAATCCGGGAGCTCGCGAGCGTCGATTATGGCGCGTGGCGATGCGACCTTGGCGTCGGGTTTTCTCCCGATATGCATGGATCCGTGCTTCGCGTTGACCATCCTGACTCTCGCGAGCACGGGAACACCGACGCTGAAGGCAGAGCGGTCAAAACCAGGGCGGACGATGTGCACGTGAAGCGCGGTGACCCGTTCACGGTAAATTCACGACATCAATCTCGAACGACTCGCGCGCGGTGTGTCGTCTGCCGGGATGGACGCGGGAAGAAATCCTTTTTAACTCGTAGAATAATCATGCGTGCGAAGCAGAGAGAGGGAGAGAGAGAGATTACAAGTATGAAAAACTTGGAAAAATAGAGGTTCGACTTGACGTCGGATTTATTCGCTGACGCGCGTTGACGTGATTATTCGCGGAGAAAAAGTGATGGAGGAGAATAGAGAGAATTTCTCCGCACCGAGTACCGCTCTCCATCTTCTCCGCGAAATGCTCGGCGATTAAGCAGATTAATTACGCGTCGTTGATGGCTCGTGTGACATGACAGACGCGAATAAGTTCAATCGCTCGCTGTTCGCATGACGCGTTACAAAATCGAGGAAAATTCCTGGTTCGGCGTTTTCTTCCTCCCGACTAGAAATTTTGATCAGGTTCACCTAACATTGATAAGGGTGAATGAAAGGTAATCCTAAGTAAGTCAGTCCTTATACCTAACGACAAATGAGTAAGGAAGACCTTTATAAGGTTATAATGATTGGGTCCACATTAGGACCTTCATGTACCAACCTAGTGTATGATATAATATGATTCAGTTAATCAGCTCCTTGTCGGGATTTTATTCATTGTACCTACTAATATGATTTGCATTATCAAGTTTTAACAAAACAATTTTTGGGTATCATTTCCAAATATAAAGATGTTTGCATTGAAAAAACACTTCAGATCACTCGAATATATTTGTAAAATGCTAGAAACTATTCTTTTTTCAGCAGTCAATAAATAGTTGTAAAATTAACGTGACATGCAACTTTTCCCTTTAACACTACTTTATGTCTCGTCACCTTCTGATACTTTATGATCTTATGATATTCATTTTATGTTTCTTTCCCGAAACATTTTACAAGTATGCTCAAGCGATCTAACATATTATTTCATGCAAATAATTTTGCATGCTTTTTATTTGGAAATGACATGAAAGAATTTTCAGCGTGTCATTTCTTATTTCTAATGTCATCATCCAATCTAGCCGTGGCGAGTAATCAGGAGCCATAATTTGAAAAAAAAAAACGTAATAAGGATTCCGTAAGGCAACTCAATAAGGGACCTGACTCTATGAATCCTTACTAAAGTCCTGATATCCACGCTGCGTTACATGACTTACTAGGACCCGATAGTATTACCTTATTGGGACCTGATGTCCAAATGAGGTTAACCTGATCAGGACCATGGGATAAATTTCTAGTCGGGCTGTTTGCTTCGAAGTTCGAACGTTTCGTAGTCTCGCGAGCCGAGCCGAGCCGAGCATTACGGAGCGAGGACGAAGAGGAGGAGCGTCTTATCCCGCGGGCTGACGACACATTCGCTCATCATAATCGCCATCATCATCGATGAATTCAGCATGAGAGCGCGGCTTTCTGACCCAAGCATGTCTCGTACCAGATCAAGTGCGCCGTCGATTTCGCGCTGGATTATTGCTGGCTGCGGAGCCCGAACGGAACGGCTTACTCCGTCGCGCAAGACGAGGACGTCCAGTACGCTCTGCATTACAAAGGCGACGGCCTCTCGTACGGCGAGTGCGGAGCGCAAATTTCGGCGTCCGTCGACTCCGACGATGGACAATGGAGTTGTTTCATGGGCGTGGTGGACGGCGGCGAGAAAAACGCGACGGTGTCGGTGACGGTGACAGGTTGGGAAACACTCGACAATTACTCGATCCTTCGACCTTAAATCGACCGCTTCACCTCACTCGCGGCTTGTTTGTAGCTCCACCGTTACACTCCAGTGTTCCGAGGAACGTTTTTAATTTCGTATTTAATTCGAAGGCGACAGAGCACGGTGCGCCCGGTAGCGTCTGCCGTCTTTTTTTTGACCTTAATCCGCAGTATTACTATTATTATTATCATTGCGATATTTCCCGTAAGAAATTGCTCATATCTAAGAGATTAATCCCGGCTAAAAACGAAAGTCGGAATTCCGGAATATATCATCAACGTCGTTACCAGCAGTGAGCTTAATAGCGCTTCTTTCATGCCGCCAACGTATAGTCGCGAAACTAATTAACTAAGTAATCTCGAGATGAAGAGATAACTAAGTTATTTGCCGAGATGGCCTGCAAGCGCGCAACGCTTGACAAGTTCCCACCTAATGCAACGGGTTACTTAAAAACCGCTAATGTCGCACGGTTGACGAAGCAGACAAGCGACCGCGCGAGGTTACCTTAATAATGTATACACATTTACGCCGTACGGCTCACACAATTCGCTCTCTGCGTGCGCATCTCTCAAGCATTATGTGAATCTCACGACGCGTTACATTTCGGCGATTTCGCAGTCGCGCGCCTTTCACGAGCTGAGCTCAAAGGCGGTTTTACGACCGCCGCCGCTCGTTGTTGCGTGAAAACACGTAACCACGTAAATGTGGCTTTACGTTAACGCAATTATCAAGCTCAACATTTCACATTTCTCTTTGTAGCTGCAACAGATAGCGGACGTGCGCTTCGTTCTTTTTCCCTTTTTGCATATTTTTCTCCTTTTGTATTATCGCACAAACGCCTTTCTCGCAGACGGACTTATAAAGTCTTATAAAGTCCGTATTTCCGTTGCCTTAAAATGCACAGAGTAACACTCAAAAGCGAGGGGGGGGGGGGCGCGAGAACAAGTAAAATAGGGCGCGATTCGCGACGATATCTCGCACGAGCGCACGGACAAATCGATGGAAAACGCGCGACGCTTTCGGTCGCTTCGCTCGCTCTTCCGTGCGCTCGCGTTTTCGCGCTTCCGACGCGAGAGAAGCGAAATTACATGTCGGTGGCGACGCGTCATTAGACATTTCCTTCCAATGAGGCGCTGTACAAACGGCTTTTCAGAAAGCTACCTCGCGGCCGAGCAGACGGAAATAGCCGTCAGCCCTCGGAACGATCCAGTTCTGTCTTGCCACATCCTTCCGCGTATGCTGGACAGAACAGTTCATTACTGCCGGTGGATCCGGCCCGACGGATATGGAATTTACAATGATATAAGCCATCGATATACGGCCAACAGCAGCTACTCCCAGTGCAGATTAGTCATCCTGAGTAAGTACGATGGGCACGGGCCGCGCTACGTGCGTACTAATGTAACAAAGTCACAACCTAATTGCCATGCCGCGTGTGTGCTCACTTTGTGTGTGTCTCTCTCTCTCTCTCTCTATGTTTGTGTATGACACGTCGTGTATGTTGTGCCGAACGAACCGCGCATAGATCACTATTACGTTAATATTAATTAACGACACGTCGTGCCACTCGCAAGGCTCGCGTCGTTTTCGATTTCAATGGACGTCGCGCCGTCCGTCCGTCCTTCCGTCCATCCATCCATCCATCCAACCACCCATCCATCCCGCGCATTTTACTCGCGCGCCCTGGGAAATTGTGCGCGGGTAAACGCGTGTGCCGGCTGTAACTGCAGTATACGACACACTTGAGACGATCTTCATGGAATTTTAAGAGGAGACAGATTGGGCGAATTATTTAGCGTGAGAGGTACGTTCAGAAGGTAGTTTGTTCGTGAAATGCAAGTGACTGTTTAGTCGTTTAACTCAAAATAAAACGATATCATTCTTTCGGCTCATATCAAGATATATTTAAAAATATCTTTCCTTTCCTCTGTTTCTCTCGTTTCTAATATAACGGAAATAAGCGAGAATATGCGCCGAGAGACCAAAATCGTTATTTCAAAGACTGAACGCTATTTCGACAGAGCGTAACATTTTTAACGTGCAACAATTCAGTTGAGTTCAGTTCAATATATGGCTCCGGACTGCATTCAGCTTTGTCCATACGCCATTTTCCAGTAGTATGAAGATAAAAGAAAAACAGGGACAACGCATACATACGCAGTCCCCACGATCAAAAAATATGCCAACTAAAGACCAACGTGCAACAATGACATCTCAAAAAGGATCGATCCCGCCGATCAGCAGCGGACAGCTCCGAAATATCGCCTCTTAAACAAGCGTTTATTCCGGACTCGTCGTCCAGTTACACGAGAATCTGTCGCTCAAATAACTTTCGCGGATGGATTATTATTACATCGGCCAGTAATTAACGGCGCGTCGCGATTGCCGTTCGCGCAATGCACCTACCTCGCTTTCAATTTCGATATCGTCGTTGATTATTTCAATATTTCGACCGAATAACTCCGGATAAACCCGCCCGCTCGCCGCCGCCGCCGCCGCTGCCGAACGCGTTACATTAATAATAATTAACGACACATCGCGATTGCAGCCGATTATGCGTTCCTTCCTCCTCTCCCCTCCTCTCCCCGCCCATCTCCATATTCCGACGTTACGCGCTTCCGATCGGTGGCGATATTTCAAACAAACCGGACAAACCAGTACGACCGCCGCCACGGCACAATCCCGTTCAAGACGAGCTGCGAGAACGCGTGACGTCGCGCGCGAAAGTTACGCGCGCCGAATGCATCAGCTACGTGACCAAATTACAGCCGAATACGGGAAGACACACGGAGGGCGAAAGATTACAGCTTACTTTGAGCGGGCACGGTCGAATCCGCAGCCCGGGGAAATCGCGAGCCAGCGAGGTGGCGGGCGAGTCAGCTCGGGTCCGCCGTAAACACTCGCCAAATGGAACTTCGGACCAGCGGACGGGCGAACGAACGAAGAAGAGGGAGAGAAGTGGAAGAAGCGCGCGTGCGAAATTCCGTACTCCGAAAAGTTCCATCTTTATATGCCGGAATACCAACTACTTGATATACTCGGGCGCACGCCCGAATGAAATCGATTCCCGAGGAAACATCTATAAAATACGAGAGGACGCGCGCGCTCGCGCCCTCGCCCCTTCACCCCTCTCCTTCTCCGCTTGTCGTCGTTTTCTCTCCTCCTCCTCCCCCCTCCCCTCTTTCTCTCTCGTGTCCTCGGGCGAGAACTCGACGAATACTCGCGACAACTTGTCTCACTCGGCCTGGTCGTCCCCGGTCTCGCAGGAGTTCCTCTTCGTCCTCGTCCTCGTCCTCGTCCTGCTCTTCCTCCTAGTGCTTCTGCGCTCACGCTTCGTGATTCACTCTAGACTATAGTTCGCAAGAGGACGAGGGTCGTTGGACATGCGTGGCCGGTCTCGCGGGAAGCAACGGCCGGCTGGAGGAGGCGTGGGCGCACATCAGGGTGTTGCCACGCGCGCACAAACTGAAGATAGTCCTGTGGTACACCAGCGTGATCTTGGGCGGCGCGGCGCTGATGCTCATTGTCACGTTTGCCGTCAGCTCCAGCGCGATCCGCAACTTGCCATGCGGGAGGAAAGTGCCGGTACTTGAGGCTCCGCGGCAGCGCGCACCCTCGAGTCCATTACAGACCAAGTTTCCAGTCATACAGAACTGGAAACAATGCGTGTACTGACGACGGTGGATGAGTCGTCGTCCATTAGTCGTAGTCTTATCGCGAAATGTCGATTACGCGATTACGCGATAGTGCCTCATGCCAGGAGACGATGACTAATCCGGGAGGGACGCTCTCCGGGCTGGTCGGAGAAGGTGGATGATTTACGGCCGGTTGGTTCGCAAGCTGTTAATTTTTACACACGCGACGTGTCGTCTACTGAACTTCGCTCGTGACGCATTTCCATATTGTGCGCTGTAAAAAATATATCAACTACGAATTATATATATATATATATTAACATATTATCTACAAATATATCCGATATACGTAAGTAATATAATAACAATCCAATGTATATAACATATACGCGATGATTACTCGCGCGTCAAAGAGTTGGAATAATTTTGTACACTTTAACCAGACACACGTGTCGGGTCTGAGAAATGTGGAGAAATAAAATACGAGATAAATCGACATGACATGTCGTGGCGCGACGAGAAAAATGAACGATAAAGCGTGCCGTGCAAAATAAAGGAGAGACGTGAAGCGCAGCGTCTCTGGCTATCCCGCCGCTGCTTTCCCTCGCGTTTGTGCAAATCCCAAATTAAATCCAATCCGATTCCCGCGATCTAGTTTCGAGTCGGTTTCGAGTTAGCTCGCGGAGAACGGAGAGCTTCGCGGTCCGGAAGTCCACTGTGTGCGGAAACGTGTAACTGCGTAAACTCATTCCTGGACTCGAAAATCTCAGGACCCGGTTCACGGGACCTGGATTCGCGCCAGTTCGTTCGAGGCGAACGCATGCAGCTTCCTCGGCAGCGGCCACGCGCTCGCGTCTGTGCTCGTTCCGCGAGTCATAATCGCGCGGTACGTCGCGTGAGACGTTTCCCGGTGAAACAGAAACCAACCGTCTGCCTGGCTCCGTTCGCGAGAGAGCTGCTGCTCGAGTTATTAATCGCGGCCGTGCAGTCCTTCGCCCCCGCGCCGTCGCCGTTGTCCGTTGCTCTCTCGTCGGGAAACCTCCGCCTTGCGACCGGAAGATTCGCTCCGAGGCTGCCCTTCCGTTCTCAGAAGCCGGGGTCGCGACTCAAAAGAATTTCAATATTGATCCCCGATTCCCCGCGTGTCTGGCAGCCTCAACGAATCAAAGTCCATCCTGTAATTGGAAACGGCAGCGGTTCGTTCGGCTGGAAGATTCACGACTGAATTGCCGTAGGAACACAATTTACGGTGGCGCGCGCGCGGGGGAGTGGAAAGAAAAGGGGCTATCTCCGCCGGCGCCGCGCCGGTGTAACTTTGATATTCCGTCCTTGAGGGAAGCCGGATATGCTAACGATCTGTAAAGACAGAGTGAGAGAGCGCGCGCGCGCCACCGGAAGCGCGGAAGCCGAACGGAGATTCGTGTCTCTCGCTGTTGGTATATCCTCCGGATAAATCGCGAGGGAGAGCGAGGAGAAGTCTTCGGCCACGCAGTGGTCCGTGAGTGAGAGCGGAGTACTCGTGGAAAGTGTCCGAAATTCTCGAGTCTTAAATCGATGCCTCTCGACACTGATGTTAATATCTGGTGTTAATCAGTCGGCGAGATCGTTGGGGTTTAATATCGTTTCAACTTGTAATAATTGTGGTAACAAGTTGATCGGCTATATTTTTTCAAGCGATATCGGCCTTTCGCGTGCTCTCTCGATCATGCGAATTCCAGGAACAATGTCGCCATGAACTAAATTGATCTCGATTCCTAATAACACGGCCATGGACGGAATACATCGACATCGAGAAAATCGTCAAGTAAGGACAAAAACGCGCGAAGCGAGCGTCGGGAAACAAAACCGACAACGATAATCCGAGCGTCGGAGTCAATCTATTTGTATCGACGAGAACGAAACGCTGGGCCGAGGAAAAAATAATTTCAATGCAGACTGCCGTTGACAGTTTTCGTTCGTTAAGGACTGAATTTGTAAGCACTCGATTTCGTGAAACTCGATTTTCTTGTTGGAACTGGGAAAAAAATAGGACGGACCTCGTTCTCTCTTTTCCTCTCTCTCTTTCTCCCCCCCTCTCTGCCTCTCTCTCTCTATATATATATATATCTCTCTATCTATGTCCCTCTCTGTCTCTCTCTCTCTCTCTCATCCCGGCGCAAACTCGAGCGCGAGCGCGAGTTCGCCCGCGCAACGACAACGGCGACGACGATTTCGGAGCGACGGAATTATTTCCGCTCGCAGCGAACCGATAACGAGTTATTGAACTCGAAGGATGGAAATTGTTGTTCGTCGCTCGCGCGAGAAGACTGGCGTCGCAATGCCTCGCCAGTGCGAACGTAACGCTACGCAAGACGAGCGAGCGTGGTGGAATACGCCATCGTCGCGGTTCGAGACGACGAGAAATTAATTAACCCCTGCAAGAACCGCGTCGCGAATGTCTCGCGCTCGCAATGTGATCGACTTGTTACCCTCGGCAGAGTCTTTCTACAAAATCCCAATTTCAAGTTCGATCAACGGTCAACACGTTATTTACACGTTATTCTGGCTCGTATTTTCCGCATCTGGCGACCTAGTTGTAATTTTGACACGGTTGCATTTTATAGAGCCGAATAGGGTAGAAAAATAAGGTAGAAACTGAAACTGATTAATTAATCGCGTTGTTTCATATCTGATTTTTCCCCTCTATCGCGTCATATCGTGGCAACGCTTTATTTTTATATTCGACGGTTAATGGATTATGCAAATAAACGCGAAGGGAACGAGATACAGCTGCACGCGCGCGCGCGCCGATATCGATTTTATTCTTCGCCATATTCCGCGTTTCTCGTCAACGTCGACGCGTTATCGCCTATTGGTTTACCCACATGAACGTATCAAAGGTGTTCATTAACGTTCACATTAATAACGCAATTTATATGTAAAATCTCGAAGGAGCGTATCAAACCCAAACAGATTCTTTAGCAAGTCAAAGCTAGTTCTGCGTTCGTTAGTTACGTGTCATCGCAACGACGAATAGATACGCTCGCGGATAGGAAGACGTAGGAAGGGGGGGATTCCTCGCGAGGGGAGTCGCTTTGATTTCGCCGCTTGATGTCTGGGAATGCGCGAGAACGCGTTACGCAAACGCGCGTTGCTCCCCGATTGTGGATTAACGCGCGAGTCTGAGGCCGCAACCTGCAAAGACATCGACGAGGAGCTTCCGCGAGAGATGCCAATAGATGAACGGAGACTAGATTCGCTTTGTCTAAGACATCTTCGTAACAGAGTAGTCAGAAACCAAATTAATTGTCGATTGTGTAATACAAATCGCAGTGATTAGTAATTATTTATAGAGAGTACAATGACGTATTCGCGCGCACGCGCGGATTGAGACGTCAATTCTCGAAACGCGCAAATATCTTTCGCAGTCCGCTTAATGTTCCGTGCCGTCCCACGCGCTTCTCTCGCGTCTCGCAACACTTCACCGTTCAGAATATATCTTTTGCGAATTCGCTCGCGATGCTGCCCGCTGCGAAGTACCGTCCAAGTACCTTCTTACACGGTTGACCTATACAGATTTTTTTCCACGTCGCAGGATATAAGTTATAGCGCACTTTGCTACCAACGCGACCAGCGCGGAAGCACTTAATCAGCCTCCTGTTTAGCCAGTCGTAAATTATATCTTGCGTTAATAAGCCAACGCGCAGAGGGTGAAAGGATACGATCACGCGCGCGGGCACGCACACACACACACACACATACGTGCACACAGGTGGGCCGATCTGTGCGGTAAACTCTGGCGAGGGTCGAATGATCGTCATATCGAACGATATTTCGCACGAATCGCGAGCTCCCGAATCCAGAGGGCAAAGTTTACTTGTCGAATTTAATGTTATCGCGAAGTGCCCAAAATAACAATTGCACACATCATACATGTATTATTTCAATGATAGAATAACAGAGCAACAGCAAGGAGCCGACTAACGCTTTCCGTATCTTTCCGCGATTTTTACATCTCTTTCTCTCCCTCTCGTCAAAGATTCGATATTTCCACCGTCATTTTATAATATTACTGTGAGAAAGGGAGAGAAAGAGAGAGAGAGAGAGAGAGGAGAGGATATGCGTCGCTCGTACGGTAACAAACAGAACAATATTTCTATTTAGCGGAAAAGTAGAATTATCCACCCCCGTCGCCCGCGCAGTTGGCAAGCTGCAATCTCGCTAACTCGATTCCATATTAACTCGAAATGCACTTTCCGTCTTTGAGTTTACCGCGACGTAAGGCTGCTTCGGTCCTAAGTCCGTGCGCGCGCGTGCGCACACACGTATACACCCGCATGTCCTTCCCATACATGCATCCATCCATCCATCCATCCATCCATCCATCCATCCATCCATCCATCCACCCGCCCTCCCTACCGCCGCCTCACGATTCCCCCGTCACCAGTTTCTGCGTGCAATAATATTCCATTTGTGCATATGACGATTATGCGAGCGCAGACAATCAACGTGCGCGTGCAGCCTCCTCCCGCGAGCGATTATCTACCGCTCTGCACTCCGTGGACCCTACATTCCTCCCTCTCCCTCTCTTTCTCCTACCCTCCCTCTCGCCGCCCTATAAGGGATTCTCACTCGCGGCATCTCGTCGCATCGCAATAACAGCCGGTCGTTGCGCGTGCCGCGAGATAATAATTAAGCCCACCTCGGACGATTTGTCATCCGCAACGGATTCCAGGATCGCGAGATCCTGCTTGCCGAGAAATCCTCGAAAAACACCGTAATCACCAATCACAGATATATTGTTAAATTAATTCAAAGATGGGGAAGGGAATTATCGTAACGCAGGCGTAAATGTTATGTTTACTCGGAGAAATGACAAATTGATTTTTATTTTTATTGCCTTTTTCATCATTCTTCCAAATAAATGTTGAAGCACCTCTAATTCACGAGGTGTGAAAGAGCGTCGGCCAGACGCGCGCAACCCTTCGAGAATTTCGAAGGGAATCGCAAAGTTCCCTGCGCGAGAAACGCAAGCGGCGCGGCAGTTAAATGAAAGACACAAATCGCCGGATATTTCCCGACCGCCCTGGCCCCGGTCTTACCGGGGCTGGTTGAAATATGTCGTAGTAAAGGCTCTCGGCGCATCCCCTTGTACACGGTGCGTAGCCCGGTCGCGGCCTGTGCGGCGGCGAGTTTCAGATTGCGGGCAACAAAAAGGAGACGACGGCGAAAGATTGCCGTCGGGCGCTCGTGCGCTCCAGTAATTTTGCGGGATTAATATTTAATATCCCGAAGGGCGACGAGAGAGAGAGAGAGAGAGAGGGAGAGAGAGAGAGAGAGAGAGAGAGAGAGAGAGAGAGAGAGAGAGAGAGAGAGAGAGAGAGAAGGGAGCCAAACGAGGGCGAGTAGTACCCATTCCGCCTCCTGCGATTCTCCTCTCTCCCCGAACAGATCAGGTTTCCGGGTCTCTCCTTCCCCATCTTCTCCTCCGGCCACCTCCTGCTTCCTGCTCGACCGCGATCCCTCTCACGGTGACGTTATCTGTGACAAGGGCTGACGTGTGCACCCCTGATACACCGGCACTCCGAACGGGCGCGACCCTTG